TTTATATAATATTTGTTGAGAATTTTGAGGTATTGAGAGATTGATATATTGAGAAATTGGTAAAAATAAAGAAATTTGTTCGACTCTCTCTAAATAAGTGACAAAAGTTTTACAAAAAATTTTGGTAAAATTTTAGCCTTAAGGCTAGTAATTTTTAAAAAATCTTTACAAAAATTAATAGCCTCAAAGAATCTGTTACCTGATATTTTTTTAAGCTATTTTTTTTTGTATTTTTATTAGGTTTTAAATTTTTAATTCTAAGGATAGCATTTTATTTCCATATTTTGGACTGTGTAGTAAAGAATGTAAGCGTTTTAAAAGCATCTTCTAATTGAACATCAGATGGGTGTGCCTTTAACTTTTATAACTTTGTTAATATTATTGTTATTTTTATCACCATTTATTTCAAAGTTAGGATCTAAAATCTAAGAATTGGAATTTGGCTAAACCAAATTGCGTTTTCAAATCTGCAAGCAGTGAATTTTCTTTATCGGTTCTAGCTACTTGAAATAATGAGCTATTAATATAATCATAGATGTAATCAAAAAAATACAAGTAGATAATGAAATAATTTAAAGTCTGCAGATAAGACTCAATCTTGATCTTCATCAGAATCAGCAGATAATTGGTCAGGAGATTTTCAAGATGATTTCAAGAGAATCTTTCAGAAGTAATGAGCTACAATTAAATAATGTCTCTTTTTATGAAATTATTGTTCATTTAATAGGAATATTATAGAAAACAAATACCAATACTAAAAATCTATTAAAAGTAGCTCTAACTAAAAATTTAAAAACTAAAACTTTTTGAAAAAACTCATAGATAATATCCAAAAGACTAAAATATGTCATGAAAAAATACCTTAGCACTCTCATCTTTAAATATGGTGTCCGTAAAAACACCATCTCTAGAATACTTTTCCAGATCTTTCATTTTGGCTCTTGAAATATGGCATGTAGTAAGAAAAAAGGTTTTTAAAGGTAAGAGGCTATATTAGAGAAATGATCCAGCATTACTTTGATAAAATATATCATATAGTATATATCATATATACTTGATGTCCAAACACAAGCAAGTTTTTAAAAACAACTCAATAAATAAAATTATACATTAAAAAATTCCATGCAAAATTAAAGTTCCATAATTCTGGTATTAAATAAAAGTCTATGTTGATACATATTTCTAAAAAATAACACAGCAAAACAAGTTCATACCATGCAACTTTTCAACAAACTAAAAAAAACCTATCATATAAATTGACTAAAAAAAAACGGTTCCATAAAATCTGAATTTAGGTGTACCTAATGTGAAAGTTAATCACAGGAGTTCTTATGATCCTATAGGATTTTCAGGACAAATTAAATCTTATGAATCCTATAAGATATTCTGTAGGATATAAGAATGTTGTAATCCTATAAGATTTATAAGTTGTCTGTAAGATAGTAAACTAGGGTACAAGAGCTAATGTTGGTACTGATTTGGGACTGATATAAACAATCAAACTTATTGTTTTTATAATCTTTGAGACTAATACTCAACATAATTAAAATTCATTAATAAATAAAGTTTATAAACTAGTCACAAGAGATGCTGATAAATACAATCTGGTTCTTCTTTTGGCCCCAACTTTTCACTATTTTTTAAGGTTTAAGTTTTTTTAAAAAAATATATAAAAGTTTTCTATCTAAAAATAAGTTCTTTGTTTAAACAAAGTTTTAACAAATTTGGTTCTAAAAGATTTGAGTTTATTACAACCTATTTTCACTATGCCTAAGTTGGCTAGACACAGCCTAGTGTGTAGTTTAGACACAGGTCTAGTGTGTAGTTTAGACACAGGTCTAGTGTGTAGTTTATACACAGGTCTAGTGTGTAGGTTGAGTGTGTATTTTAGACAGGGTCATGTAGTTTAGAGACAGGTCTAGTGTGTAGTTCAGTGTAGTGTCTAAAAGTTTAAGCTAAACTTGTTTAAATTAAATAAAGAAATAATTTTGTTTATGCAACTCAAATAGTTTTCATATTACAGGAAACATTCAACAAATTTTTTTCATATTATAAAATAAATTTATTTTTAAATTAAATTAATTGATTATTTATCAAAAAAATAATAATAACTGACTAAAAAGATTTTATAGCAAGAGAAAAAGACTTTGTAATAATGTCAAAAAGTTTTACTTATATAGCAGTTCATTTTAAATCAACCTTCCATGCTTTTTCACTTTCATTAGAAAGTTTTTAACTTTCATTAGAGAATTTCATTAGAGATAGAGAGTTTTTCTTTTGATTTTTACATTTGATTTTGATAAAATTGAGTCTTATGCTGCTTTATATGGATTACTTTTTATTCCTTCCTTTCATAACTTCTAATCTAAACCTTTCCTAGTTATATGTAACATTTTGTAAAATATTTGTGAAAGTCATGTAATACAGGTAATAGTTTCTTAATAGCTTGAATTTATAAAATTAACATTTTTGCCAGCTGCTGTAAGAAACTTTTCAATTTTACAAGATATCCACTTATATTGGTATTGGTTTTAACAGGTATTTTATGTTTAATTATGCAGTTTTAGCATCATTATAATTTTAGCAGAATCATTATATTATTAATAAAATGATCAAAAGCAAAAGATTTTCTTTGCAAAACAATTTACTAGCCATCTCTATGGATCTATAAGAAGACAACTCAAAGCAAACAAATTAGGACCCAAACCTTTCTACCTGCTCAGTTGAACTTTTAACAACAGCTGTGCACAGATTATTCATTTTATTCATTAGAATCATTTAATTCCTAGAACTACCCCTGGCTGTGTTAAAAAGGCTTTATCTTCTACTGCAACCTATCTTCTACTGTTATCTTATACTGCATTCTGTTAGTAAAAGAATGTTTATAAGGAAAGGTTTAAGAGATTTTTCAGAAGTCTGAGACTTTCAGAATAAGTAAAACTAATACTGATAAAATCATCAAATGGCCAGTGCACATAACTTTTTATTAATTAAATACTTTAATAAGGCCAGTGCACAAAACTTTTTATTAATTACTTATTTATTAAGTTGACTACATATTCTTGAGGTCAAGTTTTCTTATCCTAGGGCCTGATTGTTCACTTTTTTAGCAATGATTTAGGAATGTTACAAAAGATAATTTTGTCCTAATTCTTTTAACTTCAATATATTATTCTCTCTGTTTTTATAATCTAAACTACTTTCTTTAAATAATCAAATATATTTGCTTGTAAAATTTGGCGGTAATAACTAAATAGATATGCAGCAATGAACCAGTAGACCACTAAACTAAAGAGATTAAAAAAAATATGCAATAGCCATGACTAATAGATATGCAGTGGTGAAACAGTTGTTAGAATTTTTTTTTTTTTTTTTTTTTTAGTGATGATAATCAAAGTTAATGGGCAATACTTTCCATGTTTAATCTTCTTTTTGTTAATATTTGTGTGGTAAAAAACTAAAATTTTTTACCCAGAAATTTTTTTAACAATGATTTTTCCTATTAGTTGTCATAAACAAATTTTTTTGTAATGAAAAGATTTGGTTTTTGATTAAATAAAAAATTTTATAATTTATTCAATCCATCAAAGAAATAATACATTTAATTGTTGTAATATTACATTTTTTTATTTATATACAATGTTGAATGTTTAAAAAATATAAAATTTAATGAAAAATTTAAAACTAATCCTTAACTATTTTTTGTTGTTTTACAGGAGTTTTTTAGTATGCACTTTTTTTTATTATTTTATTCTGATTCCCTCCCAACAAGACTGTATGCAACCAATATTAGGTTGGGAGTCAAAGACTGAGGAAACGGTTGACAGAAGACTTAAAAGTTTGTATATTGTATGAGTCAATAAAACATAAAGGTGAGAGAGAGTTTCAAAGGGATCAAGTGCGGAAAAAAAACTAGACAAATAAAAGTTTTTAGAGCATGCAGGGACAGATACAGTAAAAGGATGAGACTTTGCTGAATAATTATTCAAGCGAGAATGAGTTTGGTTGATGGAACTAGAGATGATAGCTCCTTTGAGCAGCAACCATAATAGTATTTGTAGAATAGAGAAAGAAACGCAACCTTACATTGATGAGAGAGAGACTCAAGTTTGGCAGATAAAGCAGGTCCAACTACGTTTACAATGCGATTTTGGACCTTGTCAAAGTGAGAATGGAATCAGGTGTGAGAAAATGGTGAGCAAGATAAAAAGAAGGAACCTTAATAGATGCTAACTTAGCAATATTAAAGCAAACTTAGCATTTTAAGCAATAAGCTATGCATCTTTCTTTATCCTGCTAATTATGCCTTTATGTGGCTTCGACATTGCATACCAAAAGCATTAAAGGGACATCCTTCATGTGCAACATGGCACTGTTAATAATCCGAAATTTTACAGCTGTTGATGGAATCAGTCTTTTTGAGAGCTACCACAAAGTTTGGGAAACCTTACTACCAGTCAGCTTGCAAACCATTGAGCTGAGTTTTAGAGCTGTACCCTCATTTAGGAGATAAGAGGGAGAGTTGAATAGTTACTATTCTCAATGCAAAAGGAATTACTATAAAAGAGGAGAAGAACCTTAAGTTTCTTTTTGTAAAAGTGAAAACTCCTTCTAGACTCTAAATCATCAGCACTGATTAAGTAATCCAAAAAAAAAAAAAAAGATTTCTAACAACTGTTTAACCACAACATATCTACTAGTCATGGCTACCGAATATGCTTTTTTTTTATTCTCTTTACTATGGTAGTCTTTTGTTTCATCACTGTCTATTTATCAAGTCATCACTGCTTTTTTCTTTTTTTTTATTTAGTTTGTTTAACTTAAAGTCTGCAGAAATTGATGTCTATTTTGATAGGTAAATCTTTGATCTGCCAACACTATGAAAAACCATTTTCCAAATTTATCAGCTGATTTTTTAAAAATAATTTTTACAATCAATGTTAGAAAAAAGTTTAGAAGCAAAAAGCTATTATCTTCAGTTTTTTTCATTTTTTTCAAAGTTTTAAAATAAAAACAGCAATTAATATAATGTTAAAAAATAGTGAAAGTTGAGAGATGCTAAAAAAAGTACAAGATCATTGTTCCTGTAAAATTAAAAGTGTGCTTTTTTAACCTTGTTTTGTTTTTTAAATGAATACAAAGTATTGTAGGTAGAAGGGTAAGCACCACTACCCTGCGATAATCAACCAGTTCATATGTTTTAAAAAACTTATATTTCGAAAAATTTATGTAAATACATTTGAACAACTTCTGTATATTAAAAGTACATAATTTTAATGTATAAATATAAATACCACAATATTATTAATATAATAAATACAACGTTATTATTAATATTATATATGTAATATTACATATTATATATATAATATTAATAATATTACATATAATATAAATACAACAATATTATCATAAATACAATGGTTTTAAATGGTTTATAAATACAGCATTATAATGTAAATATATGTAAATACAGCATTGTTGTTATAAATACAGAGTTGTTATTATAAATACAAAAGTATTAATATTATTATAAATAAAGCCATATTAATAATGAAAGTTTTAATATTGTTAAACGTAATACTTTTTCTCATTTTAGAGAACTTTCCGAGAGATTTGCTTTTTACAGGTATTTTTTTAATGTATGATCTTTTATTCATAATGAAACTGCATAAAAACTTTCTGCGTATGTAATGTGGTCTTCTGCATATAAAACCCATCCTTTTTTTATTTTTTTAAATTGATTGTGCCTTATTTATAATAAAATTTTGATGAAAGCTAATTATAATTATGATTGTATTCAAGTTAACCAGGGAGATACTTATAAAAGTTTTTAAGGGTATATTGTTTCAAATATTAATAAGGGTATATTGTTGCAAATCGCCTGGTGTCTGCCCACTAAAAGTTTTTAATTAGGAGCTAATTGCAATTACAAGACTGACAAAAATTATGTCAAAATTCAGATAAATTAGTTTTAATAAGCTAAGTTTAAATTATACAATTTGTTAAAATATTGATAAACAAAATTAAAATAATCTACTAATATAGAAGTTAATAGTAAAATAATAGTTGAAGTTTGTTTTTGACCTCAAAAATGATCATCAAAAATTCGAAAGATTATTTTAGTTTTTTAGAATTTTGAAAAAAATTAAAGTCTTTTACTTTACTCCATTATATATGTTGTAAATTTAAAATAAATAACTTGAAGTGTTTTTAATTTTTTTTTAATTTTTAGGAATTTGGAAGTCACGAAAATGTTATTAAATTACTAAATGTTATTAAAGCAGACAATGATAAAGATATATATCTTGTCTTTGAATTTATGGGTATGTAGATATTTTTAAGATGAAAAAAAATGTTATAAAATATTGCATTAATGTTCTGAGATGTTTTTAGACACTGATCTTCACAATGTAATAAAAAAAGGAAACATTTTAAAAGATGTACATAAACGTTACATAATGTATCAGGTACAATAAGCTGTTCTTTATCTTTATCATTTATCAGGTTTTTTTTTTATATATCAGATTGTTCTTTCATTCTTTCATTTTTTTAATTATCAAATTGTTCTTTGTTTTAAAATGTTATTCAAAATTTTTTTCAGATTTTTATCAGATTTACGTTAAAGTTTTTATAAAAATTTTTAAACACATTTACAGAAATATATTTTAACTGATAAGTTTTATAACTTTGAAACTTGGCCAATTTAACAAATTATATTTATGTTATATTATTTTTAGCTGTTAAAAGCAATGAAGTATATACATTCTGGAAATGTAATCCATCGAGATTTAAAGGTAAAATTTTAATTTAAGTCAGGTTTATCCTGCTACTGTCAGGTTTATCCTGCTACTGTCAGGTTTATCCTGCTACTGTCAGGTTTATCCTGCTACTGGTAACATATAACCCAGTACAATCTGCTTCATGTCCTGCTGCCTTGTAGGATATGCCTTTTTAGGCAAAGGCTAGGAGATGCAAACTCCGACATAAAACACCCCCTGCCTTGGGGCTCTTAGTTGAGTAAAGGCTAGAGATAGTGTCTCGATAAAAATACTCATCTTGGGCAGATGTTAAATGCATCCGGCTGCTGTCTTGTAGAAGGCCTCCTAGGCAAAGACTTAAGGAGCAAACAGATTCTATCTGTTGACCAGCCTCGCACCCCTTCTTTATCTATTAGGCTGGCGCAGATGTATTTTTAATACATTGTTTCCAGTTAAGGATGTTGAACGCTGGATCTTTTTGACTCAATTTATGGGTTTTGCTTGTGTCTCTGTTTTTATGACTAGGCAACTCATTCTATTATCACCAAATGAGGGTACAGCTCTAAAACTCAGTTTTATGGTTCTGAGGCCGGCTGGTAGTCAGGTTTCCCGAACTCTGTGGTAGCTCTCAGAGAGGCTGATTCCATCAACAGCTGAAAAATATCAGAGTACTAACAGTGCCATGTTGCGCATGGATGGTGTCCCTGTTTGTACTTTTGGTGTGCATTGCCTAGGCCACATTGAAGCCCTTTGTTACGGCTTAGGGTTTATTAGTGGAAATGAGGCAATTGCTTGAGCTATAAAACAGTGTACTGAGTACTATCTATGTTTCGAGTCAAGTTCTTTAACAAATTTAAAAATGAATAAAGTAACAAAAACTATAAAACACAAAAAACCACAGTCATCACCAAGTTAGCTAAACCTATCATTCACCAATATTTGTGGTCTTCAAAGTAACTTTTCTTCTGTTGAGTCTTATCTCTTGCAAAGTTCACCAGACCTACTTGCTCTTTGTGAGACTAATTTGAGTTCAGCTGTCTCATCTTGTGATCTAAGTGTTGATGGTTATCTTCCTTTAATTCGTAAAGACTCCAATAGTCACATGCTTGGGCTAGGCATTTACATTCGTAAGAATTCACCTGTTTGTCGGGACACTAGGTTTGAATCCACAGATTACTCTTTTATGTGCTTTTGTTTAGCACCACTTCGCTCTATCACCTTTCTCTTTGTTCTATATTGCTCTCCCTCATCTTAAGACTGCACTCTTCTTGATGTTATTTCTGATTATATTGACCAAGCCCTCATTCTTTATCCATCAGCCAATATTGTTGTTGTCGGTGACTTTAATGTTCATCACACTGAATGGCTTGGCTCTAGTGTCAGGGACTCCGCAGGCATTAAGGCCCACAACTTTTGCCTTTCTCAATCAAATAGTCAACTTTCCAACTGGCTTTCCAGACAACCTGAATCATTTACCTTCTCTACTCGACTTATGTCTTGTTTCTAATCCTATATTCAAAAACTCTGGAGAAAATTCTGACCCCTCCAATTAACGTCCGATCAGTCTTCTTTCTGTTTTTAGCAAGGTCTTTGAGTCTTTGATCAACAAATTCCTCACATCTCATCTTGAGTCAAATAAACTACTGTCAGACAATCAATACGGTTTTCAATCCTCTCGCTCTACGGCCAACTTGCTAACTGCTGTAACTGAAAGATTTTATCGTGCATTAGATGGAGGCGGTGAGGCTAGGGCTATTGCTCTTGACATATCTAAAGCTTTCGACAAAGTTTGGCATGCTGGTCTTCTTCATAAGCTAGCTTCATATGGTGTTTCTGGGAAAGTTTTTGAGATTATCAAATCATTTCTTTCTAACCAGTTTATTAAAGTCATCCTTGAAGGCCAACACTCTTTTATTTCCAGTAACTTCTGGGGTTCCCCAAGGTTCCATCCTGGGCCCTGTTTTGTTTCTTATCTACATAAACGATCTTTCTGACAACCTTTCATCTAAAGTAGCTCTTTTTGCTGATGACTCAACTTTATACTCCTGTCTTGACAAAAAGTCTTCTCTTTTCGATCGCCTAGAACAAGCAGCTGATCCTGAATCCGATCTCACTTCAGTAATAGATTGGGGTTCACAGTGGCTTGTGAATTTCAACTCTAACAAAACCCAGTTGTCTACTGCAAACAACTACCGTAATATGGTCAACATTCCTATATTAATGAATGGCAATCCTCTTACTGAGTCCTCCTCTTTACGTCTTCTTGGATTATTGCTTACTACTGACCTTTCATGGAAACCATATATACAATCGATTGCTAAATTAGCTTCTGCTAAGTTTGCTTCTCTTTATCGTGCTTGCCATTTCCTTACTTCTGATTCCATTCTCTACCTCTACAAATCTCTTATTCGTCCCTGTATGGAATACTGTTGTCATATTTGGGCTGGTTCTTCTAACGATTCACTTTCTTTTCTTGACAAGGTCCAAAAACGCATTGTAAATGTTGTTGGACCTGGACTATCTGCTAAGCTTGAACCTCTTTCCCATCGTCGTAAAGTTGCATCTCTTTCTCTTTTCTACAAATACTATCATGGTCACTGCTCAAAGGAGTTATCATCTCTAGTTCCATCAACTAAAATTCATTCTCGTTTTACTCGTCATTCAGCTAAGCCTTATAAGTTTACTGTATTTGTCCCTGCATGCTCTAAAAACTTTTATTCATCTAGTTTTTTTCCCTGCACTTCAATCCTTTGGAACTCTCTCCCATCTTCATGTTTTCCTGACTCATACAACCTTCAACTTTTCAAATCTTCTGTCAACCGTTTCCTTGCTCTATAACTCTGTTCTTTTTTTTCCTAGTAACTCCCAACTTAATAGTGGTTGCTTGCAGCCTTGTTGGGAGTGAATGCAAATTAAAAAAAAAATATATATATATATATATATATATATATATATATATATATATATATATATATATATATATATATATATATATATATATATATATATATATATATACATATATATATATATATATATATTATTTCCGTGTAATTTAACTAACTCTATGAGTTAGTTAAATTACACGGGAAGGGCATGTTCTGTAAACTCATCAACAGCTAATCGGGCTAGTTTGTACAAGGTTGCATGGAAGATGATGGGCTATGATAATTATAGTAATAGCCAATCTAATCTTGACAACTTCATGTAGTAGTGTATTCCATGGGTGAGAAAAGTTGAAACGAACAAGGCAATTGCTGTCTATTTTACAATGAAAACACTTGGAATGACCATAGCTTGGTTAGATGTTAAGTGGAGCATTATGCTACCAAACTGAGTTGGTTTTGTATATTTGAAATAGGTTGCCACGTAAATGTCTATCAAGTAGAAAGGTGAGTCAGAGTTTGATGCATCTCTTCTTTTAGTCAAAGCGTTTTATTTTGTATGGTACTTTGGTAGCCCGATGCTAAATGTATTCTATGGCATTTGTCTTTTTCAAGGTACAGGCACCAGGTGGTAACTGTGAACTTTAGATGTGGTGTAAAGCTATATATAGATGGTGTAAAGCTTTTTCAATATTTTGGTATCTCTGGCGATGAAGGTGTGTTTTAAGATTCCAAGAACAATGATGGAAAAGGACTAGGATGATGAATAACTATATTAACAATTTCTTATTTTTTTAAATGTAATTTTTAAATATAATTAGTTTTGTAAATTTTTCAATTCATCAATAATGAACTATAGTTAACATTTTTTATTGATTAAACAACTTTTACTTTTTTATATAAATAAGATCTTTTTACTTATATATATATATATATTTATATAACCATTATTTTAAAATAGTAAATGTTGCATTTGTTTTTTGTGTGAAATTTTTAATTTTTTAAAATTATTTTTGGTTTCATTTTATCTTTAATTAACTTATTAACTATTGTTTTTTTGGTCTGTTGTATTTTTATTTTGAAACAATTATTATAGCCTAGCAATGTCTTATTGGATCGTGAGTGTTTTATAAAGGTATATAACTTTTTTTTGCTAAAATAAATAACAAAGTATTTATTTCTTTTTAAAAGTTTTAAGTTTTGAATAATTGTGAAAATGTTTTAGATATGTGATTTTGGATTAGCTCGATCAGTGCAATGTCTTACATTAGAACATGGTGACCCTACTTTAACTGACTATGTTGCTACTCGTTGGTATCGAGCTCCTGAAATTTTACTCGCATCCTCAAAGTATGAGCAGTTTTGTTAGGGAGCTACCAGTATTGAAATAACCGTATTCACTGCCAAAAATACAACAAATTAAGACAGGAAAGTCTTAAAATTAATAAAATGCAATTATTCACTTCCAATGAATATTTTAATCTAGGCTATTGAATACTGGTATTACACTACATAATTTTATTAGAAAGGTAGCAATCCCTAATTATGTAAATAGTTTTTTATCATTGTAAAAATATCTCTTTTACAATATTCATGTCTCACATGTTTAAAAGTTTATAGGTATTCACTGTCAAGTTAAAGTTTATTTTCACAATTATGAGTTATGTATTAACTTAATTTTTTTATACATTTTGTTTTTTAGATTTATCATATTATTTTAGGTATACAAAAGGTGTTGATATGTGGTCAATGGGATGCATACTTGGAGAAATTTTGCTAGGTATTTTTTTTTATTTTTAAAGAGATTGTTGGCACATAATGGACTGAAAAAATTATTGAATTTACTTTATCTGGGCTTTCATAAAATTACGCATTTGAACTAAAGTAAAAAAGTATATGTATATAAGAAAAAAGTATGTATGTAAGAAAAGAGGGCATAGTGGTCTATAAATTTTTAAGGTTCTTATTTGGTTTGTGTTTTGTACTAAAAGATTACAAGAGGGGTGTAACAAAGTTTAGTAGAAAAGTCTAAAGTTTTTTAGTGTCAAATAAGATAAGCAAGAATTTTTTTGAATGCCCAATGTCAGTACTTTAACTTAGATTGGTGCATAATTATTGCACGTTTTTTAGTACTACTATTATATATAAATACTGAATAATAAATAAATAATGACTTCAAAAAAAGTAATTTTTTGAAGTAGTAGTAGTAGTGCCCTTTCAAGCATGTTTGACACAAACTCTTGGCAGCCATTACAACTGAAGTAATTGCGTGAAATATGCAACTATTTCTTGCTATTACCTTACTTTGTTTTATAAGAAAACGTGAATGAAAGTGTATGCAAATGTTTTAGTATGTTTTAACATTACATAATTTGAAATTTATATACGTTCTAATGTATGTAAATTTCAAATTATGTAATGTTAAAACATACTAAAACATATATCAAGTTTTACAGTTTTACTTTCACTTGAAATCTGCATTGCGTCAACCTCTTCTTAATTTTGATCTATATTGTTTATTTCCATTAAAATAAATTATTATATACTTTTAAAATGTCAATGTGCCATCATGGCTGAGTGGTTAGCACACAGAGCTTCTGAACAGAAAAGCCATAGTTCGAGTCCAACCACTGGCGACTTCATTTTTTTAAATACAATACACTTGTGAAGTTATATATATATATATATACACTTTTATTTATATACATATATATACTTATATATATATATACTTATATATATATATATATATATATATATATATATATATATATATATATATATATATATATATATATATATATATATATATATATATATATATATATATATATATATATATATATATATATATATATATATATATATATATATATATATATATATATATATATATATATATATATATATATATATATAAAAGCCATGGTTCAAATCTTACCACCAGCGGCTTTAATTTTTTAAGATTTTTCAAAATACAAGATTTTTTTAAATACAATACACTTGTGAAGTTTTATAGAGATTACATACAAACATATGTAACGATATTATACACTTTAACAAACATAAAGATTTTTAATAAAGCTAAAAACATTAAAAAATGAAAAGATATTTGTTGTGTAAGTGTCATGATTGAGATACTTATGTTATTTTTGTTTTACGTTTCAAGTTTTACAGTTCTACAACTAAGTTGAGTAACAAAGTTGAAAATGAGTTTACAACGTGTTTATATATAGAATATAAAATCTATAGAATCTACATAAAGTTGTTTTGCTATAGCATTTTAAATAACATAAATTAAAAGAAAAAGCAAGCTGATGATTTCAACTTGCAGTGACCTCAACTTTTTTTTTTTAAACAATAAAGGGATTTAAAAAAAATGTTTTTAATAAGAACATAATTTCAATTTATTTAACAAATTTCTAATTTTATATTTAAAATAAACCATTTTATTAAATTTAAATAATAAAAAGTTAAAATTATTTATCATTGATATAATAGGGAAATTTAGAGTTTTACAGCTATTTATCCACGCCCCTTTCAAACATTCTAAACAGAGTGCTTAACAATGACAGAATTTAGATATCCATCAAAGTATACTCCATTATTATTTGGCTTAACTTTTAGATTACTCCATAAATTAACAAATACAACAAAAAAGATCAGAATTTTCCCTTGAAAAGTCATAAGTTAAATAAAAAATAGTTCATTAGACAATTGATAAAAAATAGTTCATTAGACATTGGACAAAATAGTTCATTAAGTTTAATGAAAATTGCCAACTAAAAGCTTTTTTTCAGCTAATCTTTATTGCAATAATCTAGATCTTCCTTTATTTAAGGACATTAATATCCTCAATGACTCATCTACCCTGTATCTTTGAGGATTAACTCTTACTTTCGAACTTTTTTGAAACCATATATCAAATCGATTGTGAAGTTAGCATCTGCTAAGGTTGCATCTTTTTATCGTGTTTGCCATTTTTATACTCTGGATTCCATTTTTTATCTCTATAAATCTCAAATCCGTCCTTGTATGGAATACTGTTCCCATATATGGAGCAGATCTTCGAATGGTACCCTTTCTCTTTTAAGCAATGTGCCAAATTTGCTTTGTAAACATAGTTAGATCTGCTCTTGCAACCAACCTTTAACTATTGTCACATCGTCATAATGCAACTTCTCTTTCTTTTTCTATAAATGTTGTAATGGACACGGCTCGAAAGAGCTAGCATCTCTTGTGCCATCTAATAAAATTCATTATCGTGTTAATTAAGTTTCATCATTTAATTAAGTTTCATCCTTTTACTATGACTGATCCTAAGTGCTCCAAAAATTCTTATTCGTCAAATTTTTTTCCTCAAACAAAAATCTTGTTTTCCTGATTTATACAATTTGTAATCTTTTAAGTTGTCTGTTAATTGTTATCTTGCTTCTTAAACTTAATTTATTCTCTTCCAGTAACATTCACCTCTAATATTGGTTGCTTGCAGCCTTGTTGGAAGTGAAGATGTTAAAAAATTACTATTAAAAACTACATTTATGCTTACTTCATGCATTGTTGTATAAAAAATGCTTTTTTTTTAATATTCATATTAAAATCTGTCACTTTTTATCCACTTCTTAAATAATAAAATAATTGATTAAAAATGACAGATAAAATATAAACCATTTGTTCATTTTTCATCTTTTGCACAAACAGGTAATATATTAAGACTAAATTAATACAATTAGTTTTTTATACTTTTTATAAAGGTAAACCATTATTTCCTGGTTCTTCAACATTGAATCAAATCGAAAAGATTCTGACGGTTATACCTCCACTTACTAGAGAAGGTGTGTAATTAATAATTTATTGTGAGATATACTTCAGTTTTTTTAATTAAATGAAAAAAGATTTAATCTTTTTAGAAATATACTTTTTATAAAAAAGTTATAATTTTAATTTTAAGATGAAAATTTTAAATTGTAAACTATTACTTATTTTGTCGTTGTTGACATTAGTTCTGTGTTATGTCATCTTATTGGCAACATTTGTTTATTTTTAATTTTTTATTTCAAGTAATTATATTGAAATAATAAATGTAACTACTTTGTTATAATACTTTTTCTTTGCAGATATTGATAGCATTAAATCCTCATACAGTTCTTCATTATTGGAAAAAACTGCTGTACGTTCTAGAAAATCACTTAATGACCTCTTTCCTGATTCTCCAGATGATGCACTTGATCTTCTGAATAAGTTGCTTCAATTTAATCCTGACAAAAGAATTACAGCAGAAGAAGCCCTCTCTCACCCTTATTTATCAAAGTTTCATAACCCTTCACAGGAATTAGAACTAACATATGATGTTGTTCCTCCTGTTGATGATGATGTTCAGCTTTCAGTTGCTGAATATAGGACAAAACTTTACGAGGTGGATTTTTGTTTTCATTTATGTTTTAAAATTTAACTTGAACCTTTAAAAAAACTCACACAAATTTATGTTAAATTGTGTTTATACTAGTTCTTATAAAATATTATAAATAAGGTTTACAGCCATTTTAATTTTGTTATTATTTTTATACAATGCTGTACTTGAGTTAGTAGCCATTTAGTGTTGCTCAATAAGTCTCCAGTCTAGTTTAGAAATTTAACCTTTGAGAGAGGTCTAACACTATACTTACTTTTCAATGTCTACTTTGTAGTATGTTTTAATTTATCTTCCTGGAACATCTTTTTGAGGTGTGCAAATAGCCAGTACTTGCTGGAGATAAGATCTGGAGAAATAGCCAGTACTTGCTGGAGATAAGATCTGGAGAAAGGTTAGTGGGGAAGCAATTTAAAGCATACTTCATTTGTTGGTAATCATTTTCATTGACTTGTGACTCTGAACATTGTCTTGATTTGGTGAAACAGAAACTTTTTTTTTTGCATTTGAGACTTTTTTTGGTTTCCACACCCTATTGATTCAGTATATTTTTCCAAAAGTCAGCTGACAAAGTTATGGCTAATAAAAATTGATTGGAATACTGTAAAATAAAATTGCTAAATAGCTGAAAAAAATATTAGGTAACATATTTTTAAACAAAAATTTAAGGCTTGGAGATCAGATATGAAGAGTTACATGGTACTAAAAATTACATGGTACCTTGTAATTTTCGCTATTGACTGTTTTACTGTTCTTAGGATAGTCTTTGAAAATTTTTCCTCATCACAAAAAATGAAATGTTTGAAATTTTGTTATATATTTTGTTAAAATTAGTGATCTAGAAATCCTATGGCTAACAGTATTGCCATATGTGTCTTGCTGGACACTTATTGAGTGATGCTTTATGCTAAATTATGTTATTAATTGTGATTATTACAACATACAAGTACATAATTTTATTAACTGTTAATTAGAGTATCTTGCAAAAAAAACTGGATATACGTAGACAACGTAGGGTACAACTTAGTGATTCTAAACCTGAAACATTAAATGAGAATGAGGATGAAAAACCTGCTGCTGAGTTAGGAAATTTATCAGTTCCAGTTGTTGGTACTCCGCCTCAAAACTATCAACCTCGTGTAAAGTCTGCTCCAAATAATAAAAAAGAGCCTAAAACCTCTCCTACAGTAAGTGTATATGTATATGTAAATGTAAGTGTATATATATATATATATATATATATATATATATATATATATATATATATATATATATATATATATATATATATATATATATATATATATATATATATTTATATATATATATTTATATATATATATATATATATATATATATATATATATATACATATATATGTATATATATATATATGTATATATATATATATGTATATATATATATATATATATATATATATATATATATATGTATATATATATATACATATATATATATATATACATATATATGTATATATATATATATATATATGTATATAGATAATTGTTATGCTTTGTGTTTTTGAGTTAATATTTAACATTTCAAATTAATTTTTAGCATGATTCAAATATGTTTCAAGCAAATCATTCCAGACCAATTTCTGCACATTATAACAAATTTGCAAGTAACAATATACTTACTCGAACAAAATCTAATGAGCAGTCAAAAGTAATTAGCTCTCCTGTTGTAAGTTTTTTTTTTTTAGTTTACTTGAAATTTTAAAGTACATAAAGTTTAGCATGATGGATGTGACACCCTTTAGTAGAATAAGCTTTCAAAAATCTTTATCTAATTTTGAATTAAGTTTTATTTGATGGTTATTCAAGTGAAAATGAATATGTTTGCAGAAAACATTTAAAAGCTGCAAAATTCTTCATTGCTTAAACATTAAATTGAATAGTTTAAAGTAAATACAAAATTATTAATGAGGCTTATTATTATTTGAGGCTTATTGTTACAAACTTATAAGTTTATTTATTTCTTTATTTAATTTTTTTTTTTTTTTATTTAATTATTATTGTAAACTTATAAGTTATTAAAAACTTAAGTTCTTTATTGTAAATATTTATTAGTTTTATTGTAATATTTTATTATTATAAACTTAAAAGTTTGTATTTGTATATTTATTCAGTTATTAATAATTGTTATTTAAAAAATTAATGAAATTGCGCACAATAAAAACTGTTTATGATAAAGAATGTGTGGCTGTGATTTCTGGCTCCACAAAATTGATTGAATCAATTCCATTAATTATTTTGTGTTGCTGTATAAGTTCAATACACATTTTGCACAAGGATAGTCAAATTAAGCTGTATTAAACGCTCTTCATATTTTAGGTGATTTATTGACTTAATCCATTTTGTGGTTCAATGCTGAATTTTTTCAATTGTATTTGTATCTCCTATGCAATGAGGAGAACAATTAATGGTCAAATATAAGTAGTTTACAGGAAAGCGCCAAACAACAACTTCTAAATTCTTTTTTAATTTTCTGTATTACTCTATTTTCAGCTGCAGCTGCGTGCTCAGCTTGTAACTTCACTTTAAGGTTATTGGATGCTATCACCCCTAAATCACACCATTTTGTGATTCCATTGAATATAAATGATTTGGTTTATATGTGTTTTTTTTGCCGATGTGCATAACTTTGCATTTTTTGATGTTTAATAGCATGACACATTTAGACCAGTTAATAGCTGTGTCAAAATCTTTTTGAAGATATAGTACATCTTTATCAGATTTGATAACACCTATGAGCTTGCTGTTGTCTGCTTATATCTTTAAATGACTCAAAATTAAGTCAGTAAATTGTTAATGTAGAGCACAAAAATGAATGGTCCTAAAACCGAACCCTAACGTACTCCACTAAGTACATCTCTTCATGGGGACAGTGTATTATATATTTTGACACATTTTCTATTGGTCAACCAGTTTTTTATTCAGTTATGTAATTGACCATGAATGCTATAGGCCTTCAGTTTATATAAAGGTCTTTTGTGCGGTAGCTTGTCAAATGCTTTTAAAAAGTCTGTATAAATAATGTTTGCCACAAAACCCTGATTTATGGCAATTTTAACAATATCCCGCGGTTCTAACAGTTCTGCTGTGCACCCCCTGTGTTTGATGAAGCCATGCTGAGCTGGCGTAGTAAGATTGTTTTTGACACAATGCTGCATAATACAATTGTGAATTAAACCTTCTAATACCTTACAAGATACTGAGGTTTTGGAAACAGGCAGGTAGTTGCTTGCCTTTAACTTACTTCTTTTTTTGAATATAGATTTTACTTCTGCCTTTCTTCATTGATCTGGAACAAAGGAGGTTAAAATAGAAGACTTGAATAAAATGGTTAAAGGCAGGGCTTGAATTAAGTGCAGGACATTGTCCGGTACTTGTCCGGTAAAAAATAACATCTATTAGTCATTTTGTCCAACATATTTTTTATGTGCATTTATTTTCGAATCATTTTAATTGTTCTAAAATTATTGATAAATTCAGTAGTGTATATAAACTTTATTTTTTGAACTTTTATTTTTTATAAAAAACAAAATTGAAATTGAACACATGGCTATGTTAATAAAATACGTCATTTTTTTGAGTTAAATTATTTTTTAAAAAACACTACTATAAATATTATTACATTTCTGTAATAATATTTCCTTTATTTCAGCTTTCTATTTTTTTTAACAAATTTATTTATCAAATTGCGTACAGAATTGTGTTTGGTACTGAATCCAAGAGTTTTACCTATTTGGCCTGTAACCAACTGAAATCCTTCATCCGCAAATGTTTTCAACAAAACTCACTACCAATAGAAATGGTAGTGAATACCATTTTAATAATTCCAAATTTAAAAGTTTTAGCACTAACTTGATTTATTGTTCAACTACTAGTAATGACAAAAGAATCTTAAGTAATCTGTTTAGTTTTTTTAGTATTGAAATCTTGATAAAATAATTTTGAAGATTTTCTTTTAACCATAAGGCTCATTTCAGACTCAGCAATTTTCTGTTTTGATAGATGTGATTTTTCCAAATGCTGTTTCATGTTGTAAACTTTTGATTTTCTTATTTGTATGGCGCATGAAATCACTTTATCATTTAACTTTTCTGTAATCTTACATGTAAACAGTTTTGTACTTTTATCAATTGTAAAATACTTATCTAGAAACCTCTCAGGATTGTTTGAGTTTGAAGCTAATTTTATAAAAAACTATGATAATAAAGTAAATGACAAATTTTAAAAATAAGAGAAATAATAAAAAAGATAGTATAAACAAAAATAATATCAATAATATCAAAAAAAAAAAAAAAACGTTTCAATCTTTTCCTAATTTTATTTGGAACTTACATGTTTATATCTATTTTAAAAATGTTTCAGTTAATTAAAAACATTAAAACAAATCATGTGACACATAGACAAAGTATTTTTTCGTTAAGGACCGTCCATAAAATACTTACATAAAGGATCATAAATAAAGTATGCTCGAATGGGGGAGAGGAGTCAATTATAAAAGTAAATAGACACTAAGTTAAAAAAAATATAATAAAATGTTGAGTAGGTAGGTTAAAATGGTAGGTACTTTTAGATAAAAAAAGTACCTATTCTTTTAATTTCAAAAAAGTGTAAAGCAAAATGCAGGATGTTGAAAGGGATATAAAAAAAAAGATTAGGTACTTTATGGATAATCCAATAACCAATCTTTGACATTGCTTAGAAGTATTGTTTTAAAGTCACTTATCATACTCTACAACATGAACCACATGACATATTACACAAAATAATTGAATTAAGATTAAATTCTCAAAAAGAAGTCAATTATAAAAGTAATCTCCTCCTTTTAATGAAATGATTTTTTTTTTTTTATAAACCCTATGAAAAAATGCATTATTTAGAAATTGTAATTATTTTAATGAGCGTAATTGTTTAAATTCTTGAAAAAAATCTCATTATATAAAATAATAACTTTATGGAAATTTGATATTTCAAATTATCAAAAGGGTGGAGCTGGCTCGAAGTTGGCTCCGGAGCCAGCTTCGGCAGGAAAATACTTTAGTTCCATCTCCAGCTCAGCTTCATGTAAAATCACCAGCTCCAGATAGCTCTAGTTCCAGCTCCGGAGCTGCTCCAAAGCCCTGATAAATGTATTTTCTTTTTCAAATTTTAGTTTTTTGAGCTTAGATTTTTTCTTGTTCTTTAAGATTTTCTTTTTGTTAGAAAATTTATCTTAAAAATTTTCTTTTTTTTTTTCAGTGCATTTTGAAATGCCTAGAATTGTCAAACAAATAGCGTGTCAAGTTGTAAAAACAAAAAATTTTAGGCGTGTTCAGGAATGGCGTTCGATCGCACTTCTTTAATTTTTATCAGACATATCTGGCAAATTTGAGTCTTTAACAGACAAATTGTCCGGTAGAAAAAGTTGTTTTGAGCTCGGGTTAAAGGGATAGAAATAGCTTCTGTGCAATTTTTTAAGACTCAAGGATGGATTCCATCAGGACCTTTTGCTATTGAAGGATCAAGATTCAACAATCTTGTTTTTGACTATTTTAGATCCCCAAAGGTTCAGTTTGAGTTAAGAAAATTAATCTTTTTGGTTGAATGGTTATCATTAAATCCAAAATGGAGTTTCGTTCTTAAACACATTAATTTTGAAAGGTTGGGAAAGTGACAAGTTGTGTAAGATTGTTTTTGTCAAAACAAGACTTGTGCTTAATGAGAGGTGAGTTTATGGCCAGTATGTTGACTGCTGTCAAAACACCTCCAATGTTAAAACTTTTATAGCTAATGTGTCTGAAATTAAAGTTGCCATAGAGTAATAAGTAGTCGCAACTGATTGTTTTGAGGGTCTCTGCGGTAATCTGAATTGATTTGGTTATTTCTAGGAGTGCTAGTTCAGCTTTTTGTGGTGGTGGGTAGATACTCCCTAAATGAAGTAATTCTTTTACATGCTTCAGCATGTAAAAGAATCACTTCATCTTTTATCCACAGCTGTTCAATAGAGTTTTTGTTAAGTTGTTTTGTTAAGCTGTCCATCGTGGACATTTAAAAATTGGCTAAAATTTTAAAACACAAAAAACCATTATCATTATCAAGTTCTCTGAATCTATCATTCACTAATTTTAGTGGTCTTCGAAGTAACTGGCCAAGCTCTTTTTCTTTATCCTTAAGCCAATATCATTGTTGTTGGTGACTTTAATGCTCATCACACTGAATGGGTTGACTCTAGTGTCAGTGACTCTGCATGTGTTAAGACCCACAGCTTTTGCCTTTCCAGACAATCTGAATCATTTACCTTCTTGCTTTCCAGACAATCTGAATCATTTACCTTCTTGCTTTCCAGACAATCTGAATCATTTACCTTCTTGCTTTCCAGACAATCTGAATCATTTACCTTCTCTCCTCGACTTATGTCTTGTTTTGATCCTCGTCAATGCTCAGTTTGGCCTCATTCACCCTTAGGTGCTACCGATCATGGTTTGATCTCTCTAAAATTGTTATCTCCTTCTTCATCATCAGAATCCCCCTATCATCATACATCTTACAACTACTTTAAAGCTTTCTAGGACTTTTTTCGTGATTTTCTTTGTGATGGTTCTTGGGTAGAAATCTTTTGTCTTCCTGCTGACAAATGTGCTTTTTAAATAATTTCTTGGATTTAAGCTGGAATGGAATCTTTTGTTCCCTCTC